CTTAGGAATGAGCTGGAGCTTGGAATTTAAGAAGTCAACAGAAGACCCAATTTTCTCAACCCAAAAAGGCCTTCCCCAAGACATGTTGTATTAAAATTATCAAAAATCAACGACAAAGACAGAATTCTCAAGGCAGTCAGAAAGAAGAAAACGGTAATTTATAAAGGTAAATCCATTAGATTATCCTCAGACTTCTCAGTGCAAACCTTACAAGTCAGAAAGGAATGGAATCAAATATTTAAACTATTAAATGAAGGAGCTACCAGCCTAGAATAATGTATCTAGCAAAGCTCTCCTTTATACATATGTACCAAGGAGACAAAACATTTATTAATATCTATGCTCCAAATCAGGGAGTCTCGTAACGTTAAAAAATTACTAACAGAACTAAAGAAAGAAACAGACCAAAATGCTATTGTAGTAAGTGACCTAAATATCCCACTGTCACATGTGGACAGATCATCCAAACAGAAAATCAATAAAGAGATAACATCCTTAAATGACACATTAGACCAATTGGACATAATTGACATTTATAGAGCCTTTCATCCCAAAACAGCTGCTTATACATGCTTCTCTAGTGCATATGGAACATTCTCAAGAATCAACCACATACTGGGACACAGAGATAGCCTCAACAAATATGAGGGTTGAAATCATACCAACCATATTCTCTGATCATAATGCTTTGAAACTAGAGATTAACTGCAGAAAGAAATCAGGAATAACCACGAATACATGGTGATTAAACAACATGCTACTGAAGAATAACTGAGTCAGAGAAGAAATAAAAAGAGAGATCAAGAGATACATAGAAACAAATGATAATGATAATGCAACATATCAAAACTTTTGGGACACGGCAAAAGCTGTCATAAGAGGAAGGTTCATATCATTATAGGCCTATCTACAGAAAGAAGAACAAGCCCATATAAATAACCTAATGCTTCATCCTAAAAAACTAGAAATGGGAGAACAAATGAAGCTTAAAGTCAGGAGAAGGAAAGAAATAATCAAAATTAGAGCAGAAATACATGAAATTGAAAACAAACAAACAAAAAAGATAGAAAAAAATAAATGCAACAAATATTCTTTGAGAAGTTTCATAAACTTGACAAACCCCTGGCTGGACTCACTAAAGAAAAAAGAGAAGGACACATATAAACAAAATCAGAGATGAAAGAGGGGAAATTATGACTGACATCGCAGAAATACAAAGGATCATACAAGAATACTATGAAAAATATATAACACCAAATTTAATAACCTAGAAAAAATGGACCAGTACTTAGAAAAATGCAACCTTCCTAGACTGAATCAAGAAGAACTGGAAAATCTAAAGAGACCGATCAGCAGTATGGAAATTGAAACAATTATCAAAAACCTATCAAAAATAAATGTCCAGGACCAGATGGATTCACCAGTGAATTCTACCAAACATTCAAAGAAGATTTAATACCTATTCTCCTCAAAATCTTCCAGAAAATCAAAGCAGAGGCAATACTTCCCAAGACATTTTATGAGGTCAGTATTACTCTGATACCAAAACCTGGCAAAGATAGCACAAAAAAAGAAAGCTACAGGCCCATATCTCTCATGCACACAGATGCAAAAATCCTAAATAAGATACTAGCAAACCAAATACAGCAATCTATTAAAAAGATTATACAGCACGATCTAGTGGGCTTTATCCCAGGGGCACAGGGATGGTTCAACATACACAAATCGATTAATGTGATACACCACATAAACAAATTAAAAAATAAGAATCATATGATCATATTAATAGATGCAGAAAAAGCCTTCAACAAGATACAGCATCCTTTTATGATCAAAACACTTTAAAAAATCGGTATAGAAGGAAAGTACCTTAACATAATAAAGGCCTCATATGACAAACCCTCAGCCAACATATTTAATATGCATACATTATACTTTAGTGAAAAACTAAAAATCTTCCCTTTAAGATCAGGAACAGGGCAAGGCTGTCCATTATCGCCACTCTTATTCAATATAACATTGGAAGTCTTAGCGATTGCAATCAGACTAAAGAAAGATATAAAAGAATCCAAATAGGAAACAAAGAAGTCATACTGTCACTATTTGCGGATGACATGATTCTCTATATAGAAAACTCTAAAGACTCCACAAGAACACTACTAGAAACAATAAGCAAATATGGTAAAGTCTCTGGATACAAAATCAGCGTTCAAAAATCCATAGCATTCCTATACTCTAATAATGA